CATAGATTTTAATATTTTTGTCTCAAAATAACTTAAAATAATTGTTACTTTTTAATTTTATTTTTAAATTAAGAATTCAAAATAATTCATATATTTATTTATATTATTTTTATAAAAATATTAAAAGATAACATAAAATTTTTTATGATAAGATAATTAATCAAAATAAATAAAATAATAAGGTTAAAATAAAAAAATATTTGTCTATTATAAAAATAAAAAATAAACAATTAATTTAAAATAAACTCAAAATCAAATAATACCAATTGTTTTTGCACGAAAAGAGTATAAGGAAGACTTCAATATCAAAAGTCTTTAATATTTTACAATAGGTTTTTCTAATATGTATTTTTAGAGAATAAGTTAAGGAATGTAATTAATATTTTTTTTATAATTAATTTACATGAAAAGAATAAGTGTTGATTTTAAATTGATTAATTACTTAATTAAAATTATTTATGTATCAATAATATTAAAACAAATATTAATTTTTATAATTTTTTATATAAATTAATTATAAAAAATATATTTATTATATTTTTAACTTATATTTTAAAAATACAAATTAAATAAATTTGTATACAATTTAAAATGGTTTTAACTCTAGATCACTTTTTCGTTATAAGATAACTCGTGCGCGAGTCTCTTTTTTATAGACTTTTTCTTTCTTTCGTTCTATTTTTTAGAGTTGCTGGTATTGTCCGGGGAAAACGCAACCAGCGTTCAAAATTCGTTATCAAAAGGTCGTTTGGAAGGGAAAAAAAAATGAAAAATAAAGAAGTTAGTTCGGAAAAGACAAAAAAAAAAAAAAAAGAAAAAAGAAAAGAGAAAAGAGTACAAAATCAAATTAATTGGGCTGGTAACCAAGATTCAAAATTCGTTACCAAATCAAAAGGCAGTTTGGAAAGACTAAAAAAAGTTAGTTCGGCAAAAGCCAACAAAAAAAATGAAAAATGAAAAATGAAAAGAGGGTACAAAATCATATTAGTTGATCTTATGAATCTTTATGATAAGGCACATGTCATGTGCTCGGAAATCTCTATGTAAATTGTCTCTCTATGGCTTTTGAGTTTTGGACCTTAGCTATATGAAAGGGGAGGTTCAAGCTAATTCATTTATTGTAGTAAATCCTACATGGAGGGCACTCAATTGAATACAAATCTAAATTTTTGTATAAAATTTAGTTTGGTCACTTATGTCTTAGTTTTATCAATCATATCCTTACTTATTTCATGTCATTTTTTTATTTTTTATTTTTTAGCATTTGTGATGTTGAAGATTATTTTTAGAGTACATCATGATAGGGAGGATGACAATTTAAGATAAAAATTTGAGACTCATGACATAATGTATGTCATATTATTAAATTAATTAATACATATAATATCATAAGTTCTAAAAAAATTAAAAAAATTAATCATTAAATAATATAAGATTTACGTTTTAATATTTTAAATGATATAATTTATATCACATCACTGCTCTCAAATTTTAACCTCAAATTTTCATTTTATTTATCATCATTCTTACTTTTAATAACAAAGAGAAAGATGGGAAATAAAGAAAATATAAAATACTAATTAAAGTAAGTATTAATTGAATAAAAATTATTATTACAAATTTTTATGACGTTTCTTCGTTAATATCATTATTTCTACTTTATTTGTTTATGGTTAAAATACTAATTTGGTCCCTTAACTTTTAGATTTATATTAAAATTGTCTTTCAATTTCAAAAGTAAAAAAATTATCTTTGTACTTGAATTTTTAATACCAAAAAAGTTCTTCAATTAACAGAAATATTACATAACTCGTTATTTTACCAAAAGATCAAATTTTTAAATACTAATGATATGTAAAATTAAATAATTATATTTTATTATCGTAGTATATTTTTATTTACATATTAAATTGATATATAATCAAAATTGAAAGATTAAATTAATATTGTAATCAAAGTTTAAGAACTAAGTTAGTACTATTTTAGTACTAAAAAATTAAAGTTTAAAGATAATTTTAATATTTTTTAAAGTTGAAGGATCAATTGAAATTTTAACCTTTATAATATATATGTTTCTACGTGATATATATGTTCACTTTTATTTTTTAATTAATGGTGTTTGTTTTACGTTATTAAACACTATTAGTTTACTATTAAAAACTAATAAAGATTAATTAAAATATTTTTTTATTTTTTAAATTAACAAACAAATTGTTATTTTTTATTATTTTTTACAACACCACGGGTACTGTTTTCATCAACTTGCATCGGACAGAATTACAAATTGCAGAGAGGAGAAGTAAAATATTAAGACGAATGAGTCGCGTGGAAAAATATCTGCGGCACTTGTTGTTTCTTTATGTGGTCCTGAAATTAGGTCCTTTTTTGTTTTTGTCCTTTTTTTCTTTTTTGGGAATCAGTGGTCCCGTAATTAATTAGTAATTATTAGTGCAGGGGAGACCAGCGAGAGTTAGGGCTGGGTCCGAAGTTGTATAAATGTCAGATATCTGCGACTCGAGAAATCATTGAAGAAATTAAAGAAGAAGAAAGAAATGGGTCGGAGTCGTCAATGTGTTCTGAATGGACTGAATAAGGGAGCATGGACTAGTAATGAGGACAAGATCCTCACAGATTATGTCAGGGTTCATGGTGAAGGAAAATGGAGCAATGTTGCCAAGAAAACAGGTTCCTCGTCCATCACTAATTTATCTTCTCTTTAAATTTTACTATTTTAGCAAAGTTAGTTTTCTTTTTTCATGTTCTTATACAGATCATACAGTACAGTTTTTAAGTAATTATTGGTTGCACCAAATCAACTGTAGGTCTATATAGGTGAGTCTAAAGAAGCGGGAAAGGATTAATCAAAGCATTTGTTTTGTAGAGTTTGTTTTGCCTTGTGGGAATTTTTGTATCAAGTTTGTTTGTTATGATTATGAACTTTTGATATCCTGAGTTTTGTGCCCATTAGTAATTGTGAGCATGTCTGTTTTGAACTCTATTTTGTAGCAGGTAGATTTCCTTTGTAGCTTTTGTCTGACTTTGTGTTTTGAGTGTCTTGCGAAAGTGTGTGGTTAAATTTATTAGTCCATTGATCGTTGTGATTTAGTTGTATTTGGGTTAAATACTCCTTATACTAGAATTGAATAATATATTTTTTTTACTGATAAAAAAAAAAAAAAAACTGTAGATCTTAAGAGATGTGGAAAGAGCTGCAGGCTCCGGTGGAAGAACTACCTGAAACCTGATATAAAGAGAGGCAATATTTCCCATGATGAAGAAGAATTGATCATTAGACTTCATAAGCTCTTAGGCAACAGGTATGCATATAAGTTTACCTCTCCGGCCGGTCAAATTTGCAAGATCAATTTACTGCCAAGATGTAGTACAGTTTTTGTGTTCTGAAATTGGTTTACACGGTTTGAACTTTAGATGGTCACTCATAGCGGGGAGGCTTCCTGGCAGAACAGACAATGAAATCAAGAATTATTGGAACACGACCCTAGCCAGAAGGGCAGAAGACTTTGAAATGAAAGTTTTTGCTCCAATTCGCAAAGTTGATGAGGTGACCCAGACCATGTGCAAGGCCACATCTCAGGCCGTCCTTGTCGATACAGCTGCACAGTCTGACCAAAATCAGTATCTTACCCCTGTCTCAATAGGACCCTTCGCTGAAAACTACATGTCCAGGAAAATGGGGTGCGAATTTAAGGATGAGTCGCCAAGGAAAATACAACCATCCCTTGAAAACCCTTTGTCCAGGAAAATGGAGTACGAGTTTGAGGATGAATCCACATCTTCCTTGCCCAAATTAAAAGATCGAGACAATGGGACAGATTTCTTGATGGACTTTAACTTAGACGACATTTCTAAGTTTCTGGACACAGACATTGTACAGATGAATGATGACAAAGTTTGTCTGAACGGGGGAGGAGGAGAAGATGGTGGAGATGGAGACTTGTCTTTTCTCATGAAATTGGCGGTGGCAGATAAGGAATCATCCTTGGATTTCCAGTCGTTGGCTTCTTCTTTCCTTGAATCGGCTGAGGAATGGCCGCCGATTAGTCTGAATAATATTAGTATTCAACTAGGAGAAATGAACTGTGTTTCTTTGGTACGTGTTTAGAAAATTAAGATCCTAGGTGCATGTCTGAATTTAACTATATACGTTTGTAACTTCATGATCTAGTGTTAATTAAG